GAATTGCAGTAATCAAGCCTAGATGTAATGAATGCATGTATTACTGTCTCCAGGTTATTTTTGGACAATATGGGCTTCAGTTTAGACAGCCGCCTCAGTTGGAAGAAGCATGATTTAACAATCGTGTTTACATGATTGTTAAGTTTCAGGGAAGGATCCATTACCACGCCCAGATTAGTGACTCTTTGTTTTTCTGACAGGGTTAGAGCGGAGAGGTCGATACAGTGGTTTGTGATCGTGTTGTTGGGAGGGAACAACATGACTTCAGTGGAAAATCCATAAATGCATTGCTTCGCCATACACGTTGCATATATTATGCGTCACCGCTGGCGCGGCGTGTTTGTTACGCGTTACCGCTGACACCCCGAAAATGTGGGCCTGTGTTGTGCTAAAAACCGATGAGCTGCCAAATGGCGGCCGCAGGAGCGTGCACGGGAGAACTTTAACAAGAATTTAACAAGATTAACATTTAAAAACAATTATTTGTTTGATCAAAATTATAGTAAAGGTGTGTCTCAGTTTAACTATTCCTTAAAAAATGCACTTTAATGGTCAAATCAGCTGCATTACAAAAATAGTTTTGCTGCATCAGTTGTCCGGGAGAGTGCAGAGGAAGGAAATCATGAAGGAAGAACGCTGCTCGTTTCTTCGAAGTTTAACAAGAAAAGCACAAAAAACAATTATTTGTTTGCTCGAAATTATAGCAAAGGTGTGTCTCAGTTGAACATTTACTTAATAAATGCACTTTAATGGTCAAATTAGCTGCATTTTGCCGGGACGGTGCAGCTGTTTTAACTTCCTCCAAGCACAGAGCAGAACGAAAGTGGGGTATTAAGCAGTGTTTCCCCTACTATTATACAAGCGAGGCGCCCCGCCTCATCAACAGAACTGAGTGCCCCGTCTACCGAACCCCACCCCCCCAACCACCTTTCAGCACTGACGCAACGCTAAACTAGCGGCTCGCAATGCAGGTGTGCTAGCTAAAAAGCTAAAGGCAGCCTCTTCCCTCATGCTGAACCCTCATGTGAATGCACCCCCGACACTCGAAAATGGTCAGTACAAACAGCGTACGGCTCAGATGTGCGTCTGTCCCCCCCCCCCCCCCCCCCTCCAAAAAAACCTGTTGGTTCAGAGCGCGCACAGCTGAGATGTGTCTCTGTCATTCTCTCTCCTCTCACACACCCTGCTCTAAAACTGTTGGTTTAAACAGCGCGCTGCGCAGCTTAGGACATGTCTCTGTCCGTGTTCCCCCAACCCACCCGGACAAAAATCCCAGACGAGATGAGCGCCCCGCCATGGCAAGTCATCTAGGGGAAACACTACAAGGGCAGACCGATTTTGCCATTAATAGCTGATGAAGGTTCTCAGTCATCCAGGACATGGTAAATTCAAAAAAAGTTCAAGAAAAAACAATAGAGTATAAAGTAAAGTATAATAAATAAAGCCCAGTTGTTTTTGTCTTGAACTTTTTTGAATTTGTCATTATAGCCACGTTTACCTATTACATGATACAATGGCATGCCTCACTGCTACTACTACTACACTGCTGCCATCTAGTGGCTGAAAATGGTACTGTTCAATTTATTTATTTATTTTTCAGTCGAATGAATGAAAACGGTCATATCTCAGCCAAAAATTGGTTTATAAATACAAGAAAGAAAAAAAAAAACAAATACGTCGCTTCGGCCTATAAGTCGCAGGGCATGTAAATTATGCACAAAAAAATGACTTATTTGCCAGAAAATACGGTATATATTACACAGATAACATGTATGAGTAGGAGTGGTGGCGGAAAGGTTAGAGAAGGAGCTGGTGAAGATTCTCAGTCATCCAGGACATGGTAAATCCAAAAAGGTTCAAGACAAAAACAACTGGACTTTATTTGTAACAGAAGACGTTCCACTTCTCATCTGAGAAGCTTTTTCAATTCAAAGAGCAGAGTGTGGGGTTCAGGTTATAAAGCTGAGTGAGATAAGATACACATACATATGCAGATTGACCTAATCACATATCACAGTAGAGGTTTTGTTAAGGTCTTTGTTAATCTAATTCACAGACGAGGCCCCTCTGTTCCCATTTTTGTCTTGAACATTTTTGGATTTAGAGAAGATGGGCCTGTGATCAAAAAGTTGTGGGTTTGACTCCCCGGACCGACAACATCAAAATGTGGGTGGAAAAGGTGAAACACCCACACCTGCCTCCACCCTCATTTGCCCCATTCCAGGCCCTTGAGCAAAGCTCTTAACCCCCACCATCTGCTCCCAAACAGGTCTCTCTTGAAAACGAGTCCCTGTGACTCAATGAGACTACCTGTATAAAAAAAGTTTAAAATAAAAATACAATGAGCAAAAGTTGATTCATTTGCATAAAAAAACAAAAAAACACTACAAAACAAGGACCAGTCTGGCTAGAAATAAACCTTAATTTCTGTGGACATTTCTTTTTTTTTTTTTAATTACCATACTCTTTGGCTGATTTCACAAATGATAAGTTGCTAACTAGTCAACTATTTGACAGAATATCACCTAAAATCACAGAATCCTGTTAAAAGCTGTCAGTCCTATAGTCTCCTCTGACACAGGGCAGTTCAGCCTTGGTGTGTTCTGGTGTTAAAACACCTCGTACTTTACATGAATCGCACTCACCTCTGCTACATCCTTGCAGAACTCCAGTCCGATGTCTTCAAGTGATTTTTTCACTTGTTTTCTGGCTCTCCTTATTCTCGCGAGATTATTCACTGGGAGTTGGAACATTTTTCCTAAAAAAAAAAAAAGAAAAGAAAAAAAAAAAAGAACAAATTATTTGAAGGAAGCGAAGTGTTTTTTTACACAGATGATCTTACATCAACATCGTGTAGATCAATATAGATCAATTATTGCAATAGCTAAAGATCCCGGCTTTACGTGAGGAGGCAAAACTCAACGTCCTTCAATGGCGAATTAGCTACTCCTCGATGAAATACGAGCCTCAAGAGAGTCCTGTGCAGTTCGTGGGCGTGCATTCACTTAATCTTATTTCTGTCAGAGTGTTTGACCAAATACTGCGACCTGAAGAGCAGCACGACGTCTCGAAATGCTCCTCAGGAGGAGTTGAACCGCATACCGCGTTAGCCACATAAGCTAACGTTAGCGCCGCTGCCCGCTCTCCGGCGGCGGCATGGTCAGTGCCAAAAGATACGGTCACTTTTGCGTTTTCTCCGTTTTACTTACCGCCCGATACGTCTGCAGACGGCCTTTATGCAGATTGTTTCACCGACATGAATGCCTAATGAAGAAGCTATCTGTGGTCGAAAGGAGAAGAACGGTGAGGATCGGGCTCCTCGACGCCGGGAGTTGATGCTCTGCAGCTCAAAGCTAGCTGGCTAAGCTAGTCAGTTAATTGTTGCTGTGCAGCAGCCGCTAGCTGGAAAAAGAAAACGGCAGAATAGAACGACGTACGTCTTATGAATGCATAACACTCTAGTAGTAACAACTGCCTGGACTACCTTTTGTCCCCTATGTCCACAGGAGCCGATCCAGCGGGAACACAGCTACGTTTTCTACTTGTAAGGATCAACACGCAGTACAAAATGGCGTCCACAAAAAGACGGAAGTAGTGGGGTGCTGAGCAGAGACAGAGGATGTACAGAACAAGAGCCACACTCAAAAACTGTTTTAACAGTTTATTTGTTCAGTTGTGAAACACTAACAGCGTTATGATTCTTATTTACACATTAAAATATGTGTTTTCTCAGTAAGAATTGGCCAAGCCCATCATAATTTACATCCTAGAAATAGTGTCATAAATAACTAAATATTTGTATATTCATTTGTTTTAATGCAGTTGCTATTCCAGTGGTTCCATAACTTCCAGTACAGCAACACGGGGTCCTGACATCACCAGTCTGCTTACTGTCCTGTAGTTCAGGTAAAGGACACACCTTCCATTCACCTGGCACACGAACTGACGAATCTGAAGATAAAAATAAAAAAAGATACCTGTACATAAATTGTATTCGTCTTCTAAAATTCAGTGTTTGCATTTAAAATGATTTTTGCTTGTTTTAAGTTTGACTTTGACCTCTCTAAGGGCTTTTAAACAATTGTTAAGTTCAATGCAAAAATCAATGCAGATATCCAAAAAGTTAAGTCAGGTCCTCTGGACGGTTTCTTTGTGTTGAAATGTTTCATTTCATTCAAATGTTTCAGGGCGGCTGTGGCTGAGTGGTTAGAGCAGTCGTCCTCCAATGCAAGAGTTGGGGGTTTGATTCCACCAGCAGTCACATGCCAAAGGGCCAAGACACTGAACCCCTCATAGCCTCTGATGTGTGTTCCATCAGTGTATGAATGTGATAAAGCTCTGATTAGTCTCTTTAGAATGATTTGTTCAATTAGCTTTGTAGAGATCTAGTAGAGTGCTGTATGAATGGGTAAATGAAGACACAGATTGTAGTGTAAAGCACTTTGAGTATCTGGATAAGATAGAAAAGCGCTATATAATTACAGTCCATTCATCCAAATGACTTAATCAGTCCGAGGAGCTGCAACAAACTCAGTCCCACAGCACACCCACATAGTGGGCCAACCAGTTTGATGGTGATAAGATGGTTTCTGGAGTTCGCCCTCTCCCCTGTTGACTCCTCATCAGCCATGGCCAAAGTGGTTCAAAACAACAGAGTTCATGATCCTCACTCAAGTTTGTTGGATTTTTTTTTTAACCTGGATTATTGAGCATGAATTTTGAGCAATGCAGACATGTGTAGTGGTAGGGCTACTGTTCCCATAATACTTTTCGGCACAGTATGTTTGTACTGTACATGTTTGTGTGTGTGTGTGTGTGTGGGGGGGGGGGGGGGGGGGAGATATAAAGAGATGTACTACAGCACATGGCATCCGGTGTCCTCATTATACATATCCCACTTCTGACACCATGTATAATGTGGACGCCAGATGCCATGTGCTGTAGTTCCGAACATCTTTTTATCCCCACCCCCCCATACCCGGGAACATGTACAGTACAGACATACTGTGCTGAAGGTATTATGAGAACAGTAGTCCTACTACTACATGTTACTGTTTTTAGTATTTTACCCCATTTCATAATGTAGCTTGTTTTTATTTTGTTTTATATCACTTCTTTCATTGTATATGCTTTTTATTTTGATGCGTGTACCTCATCTTGTGTTTTTTTATTTTGTTGTTTAAAACAGGTTTCTCTTGACAGTGAGTCCTCATGACTCAGTTAGACTAACCTGTATAAATTAAGGTTGAATAGTTTGTTTCACCTTAACTCCAGCACCTGCTGCGGGGCCTTCAGGATCAACAGCCTGGACATAGCAGGGGGCCCTGCCTCTGACAACGATGCCCCAGCCCAGGGCGTCCCCGATCACCTGTGAGTAAGGTAAGACAAATTACACTTCACACTTTGGAAACTGGATCCCAGATGTTGGGAACTGGATTCCAGATGTTGTAGACGTGTGTGTGAATGTGTGGAGTCTTTCACAACCTTTAAATTTTCAATGAACAAATTTTGACAGTGAAATAATGTTGAGAATATATCTTGAATTTAAGCTATGTTCTTCACCACATGTACTAACTCACCGTCAGCACTTTCTTGATGAAGGGTGCACCAGGCGACAATAGTTCCTCACATGTGACACGTCTTTTCAGCACTGCAAGACAAGAAGAAACATACTTCCAACTGCAACCTAAGAAGTGTCTTAATGTTTTTTAAATAGGTGGTAGTAGATTACTGATGATCTACTTGCCTGATTTAGGGTTAGATCTCACCGCCACATTTGAAGACATTTGAACAAGAGGTGGAAATCCACCAGAGTGGTGCTGAAGGCCATTCACGCTGGTTCGACGACCACCGATGACCGTTTTCAGGGCTTCGCTTGATCCCACTGGAGTGAGGTTAGTGGAAAAACCATTATGTGTAAGACTGTTCACCACAGAGGGCACCTTGCAAAAAGTGGTGCTTTATTTTTACCACATTCAAAAGCACTGTTGGGCTCTAGGAGTGAGTCTTTGCGTAGATTAAATGGACTGTCAAGACTGCTGTCCTCAAAGGGGGAAGCTGCTGCATCATTTTCCTGTTTCTTCTCATTTAGCAGTTCAGATAGGCGCCGGCGACGACGAAAATTGATGCAAAATTGGTAGAGCAGGCCACTGTCGAAGAAGTTATGCTTCTTTGCCACTATTGGTGGAAGATAAAACAGCACAAAACCCAGTGGAACATGATTTAAGGATAAATGAAATTGTTTGCCAAGAGTTATTGCATGTATTTGCTTTTGATTGCAAAAGTCCCAGACGTCCACCCCCCTCCATCACGCACTGCTGGCAGTGACTGCCTACCATATATCAAAGAGCAAATGAGTAGTCCCCTACCGTGCTGAATGATGCCATGCTCCTGCAACGCACGGCACAACTCCATGCCCTGACGTCGGCTCTCTTCCTCCCCGTTCTGAAGGAGCCAGTCGATCAGCTGGTAGCCGGGAACCGAGCGCTGATACGAAACCCCATGCTCCACTCTCGGCTGCAGAATTGAGCCTTTGTCTGCCATAAGACTTAAGACAACAGAAAAACAACAGCAAAGGCTTTAAAATCTCACTGCAAAGCTAGTCAAGTCAACTTTATTTATAGAGCACATTTAAAACAGAACCTGTTATCAAAGTGCTTAACAACAACAACAATCAATGAGAGTAAAATTAAAGAGAAAAAATACAATACACTAATAATAATAACTGAAGAATTAATAAAAAGCATTTAAAACATAGGGTCACAGATAAAAAAAAACCACTATATCAATTTACACTGTGTGAAATGCCTGTGAGAACAGATGTGTTTTTAGCAGGGATTTGAAGCGAGGAATGGAGGTGGCCTCCCTGATGTTGGGGGGCAGGTTGTTCCAGAGTTTGGGGCCCATGACTGAAAAAGCTCGATCTCCTCTGAGCTTCAGTCTTGTTTTTGGAACAGCCAAAAGCAGCTGATCGGATGATCTCAGGGCCCGAGAGGGAACGTATGGTTCCAGTAGCTCAGAGAGGTAAAGGGGTGCAAGGCCATTTAGGCATTTGAAGGTCAACAGAAGAATTTTAAAGACTATCCTAGTACGAACAGGGAGCCAGTGAAGGGAGGACAGAACTGGTGTAATATATTCAGACCTACAAGTTCCTGTTAAAAGCCGAGCAGCAGCATTCTGGACGAGCTGAAGACGTGAAATGGAGGCCTGGCTGACCCCAGCATAGAGTGCATTGCAATAGCCCAATCGAGTCGTGACAAAGGCGTGGACTAGTTTCTCAAGGTTGGGTCTGGACAACACTGGCTTGAGCTTAGCTACCTGTTTTAGTTGGAAGAAGCTTTTCTGCAGAACAGAGTTGATTTGTTTGTCAAACTTGAAGTCAGAGTCTAAAACCTTTGATACAATCGACCACGAGATCCTCATTGCGAGGTTAGAGCAGTGGGTGGGCATCACTGGGTCAGCCCTCGAATGGTTTAGATCAGACCTGGGCGTTGTATGGCCCCAGGGCCACATGCGGCCCTTTGGTTGACTCTCACCGGCCCCCGTAAGGGGAATTACAAAATACATATGTAAACAAATTAAGTTAACCAAATCCAGATATAGATCCTCTCTCAATGATGATGTCAGCTTTGCTTCACCTCTCCACCTCAGACCTTGAACCTGACTTTAACATTTCCGTTAAAGCCCAACAGAGACTAGACTTCTCTCACTAAACAAGAAAAAAGAACTGAAAAACACCAAATGAGATGTTTAGACTACAAATGTAGGCACGTAAAGAACTGGGACTCGAAATCACAGTTCAGTGACGATCACTATTATATGATGTTTCATAATATTTGGAGTACAAAGACAATATTGTGATATATTTACAAAGCTAAGAACTTTTTCCAGCACTATATAAAACTCAAAATGAGTTTTGAGGTGAATGTGACTGAAAATGATCATTAATATAACTTCACAAATGATAAAAATGTTAACAGTTTACCATTGTACTGGGAAATTTAATTGAATAAATGACATTTTTTGTAAGGAAACCTCGCTTTTTCGTTGCTTAATCATAACAAATACTCTTACCAGCTTGTTAAAACAGTGCTATGTACTGCTTTTAGTAATGAAATACTATTAATATTATGCAGTATTGAGTTAAGTTGAAATCAGGTCTCTCTTGTAAATGAGTCCTCGAGGCTCAATGGGATTTACCGTCTAAATAAAGGTTGAATGAAAAAGTCATTTGTGCCAGCCCTCCACAATATTTGTTGTTTCTCATGTGGCGCCATGGAAAAAATAATTGCCCACCCCTGGTTTAGATCTTACCTCGCTGACAGGTCCTTTTGTGTCTCCATCAAAGATTTTAGTTCAGCCTCGGCAGCGCTTAAATGGGGGGTACCGCAAGGTTCCATCCTTGTTCCTCTTTTATTTTCTTTATACCTGCTGCCACTAGGTGCTATTTTCAGGAAACATAACATACCTTTTCATTTCTACGCCGACGACTGCCAAATCTACTTCCCCCTCAGACTCAACGGTACTCGCTCTATTCAACCGTTACTGGACTGCCTGGCTGACATCAGAGATTGGATGGCTTTAAATTTCTTGAGTTTCAACGAGAAGAAATCTGAAGTTATGCTGTTTCCTCCCAATGACACAATCATCAACCACTGCATCGACCTATCCGTTCTGTCACCGTTAGTGAAACAAAGAGTCACTAATCTAGGAGTGATACTTGACCCTTCTCTGAAACTCAACAATCATGTAAATATGATTGTTAAATCCTGCTTTTTCCAGCTGAGGCGACTGTCTAAGCTGAAGCCCATTTTGTCCAGAAATAACCTGGAGACAGTAATTCATGCATTCATTACATCCAGGCTCGACTATTGCAACTCACTCCTTTTTGGTATCAGTCAGACCTCCATAGCTAGACTCCAACTGGTCCAAAATACAGCAGCCCGGTTTTTGACCAGCACAAGCAAAAGAGCACATTACTCCTGTTTTGGCCTCCCTACACTGGCTTCCGGTTCACTTTCGAATCAAATTCAAAATACTCTTGTATGTCTATAAATCACTAAACAGCTCTGCCCCCTCCTATCTTACTGATCTGCTCAAGCCGTATGTCCCACCACGTTCTCTCAGATCAGCAGACCAGTTGCTCCTAACAGTCCCAGGAACCCGTCTCAAGCGCAGAGGTGACAGGGCCTTCTCTGTAGCAGGCCCAAGACTTTGGAATGAGTTACCTCTGCTCGTTAGACAGGCCCCCTCCCTCACAGTTTTTAAATCTCGCTTAAAAACACACTTTTATTCCCTGGCTTTCAGCACTGTGTGATCTGTGCTGAGTCTGTGTGCATCACACTGTGTTGGTCATGTTGCAGTTGTTGTTGTTATCCATTACTGTTTTTGTTGGTTTCTACGTTTTTGGTGTCCTGTTATGTAATCTGTTGCTGTGTGCTTGTTCTGTTTGTCCCTGTACAGCACTTTGGTGTGCTTTGTCACTGTTTAAAGTGCTATATAAATAAATTGGTATGGTATGGTATGGTAAAACCATCCCGAGATTTTTACCAGACTGCTTAAGATATGGCTGAAGAGAGTCCAGATTGACAGGATCAGTGGCGGCAGTTGAGCTAGGGCTAAAGACAATGACTTCAGTCTTCTCATCGTTAAAACTTAAGAAATTTGAAGCCATCCAGGCCTTAATGTCATCCAGACATTTTAACAGTGGGTGAATAGAGCAAACACTTGCTGGTTTCACAGGCAGGTAGATCTGGCAGTCATCAGCATTATAATGGTATCAAAGACCATGTTTCCTCAGGATGGACCCCAGTGGGAGCAAATAAAGTGAGAACAGTAGGGGTCCAAGAATCGAACCCTGTGGAACCCCGCAAGAAAGAGGTAATGAGGCGGATACATTATTATCAACCTTGACACAAAAACTCCTGCCACTCAGGTATGAGCGGAACCATTCTAATGCTTCCAGCCGTGATATAAGGATACTGTGGTCAACAGCTAACAACTATCAGCTAATTGATAGGAACGTGCTTGAAGGGAGCATTTTTGTACAAAATTACCAATGTGTAATGTATTCTACAGATATTTATAGAGAGGAGTGGCAAAGTTACAATGATTTCTATACATGTTCTATTTAAGTATATAAAATAAATGGAAGTCCATCCATCCATTTTCTTTACCTGCTTGTTCCATTTTGGTTCACGGGGGTCGCCGGTGCCCATGTCCAGCAATCATTGTGCGAGGGGCGGGGTACACCCTGGACGAGTCGCAAGTCCATCACAGGGCCACATAGAGACAAACGAGACAAACAACCATTCACTCTCTCACTCACACCTAGGGACAATTTGGAGTTACCAATCAGCCTAACATGCATGTTTTTGGTCTGTGGGAGGAAACCGGGGTACCCGGAGAAAACCCACGCATGCACGGAAAGAACATGCAAACTCCACCCAGAAAGGCCCCTGGACCGGGGTTTGAACCAGGGACCTGCTCGCTGAGAGGCAGCAGCTCTACCAGTGGCGCCACCGTGCTGCCCATAAATGGAAGTTTACCACTTTATTACAGACTTACAGAGTAAATAGTTGAACAAACCGTACACTTGTTCTAACACGCCTTTGTTTTGTTTACCACCGTCATCATTCTGTTATCCTACACCACGGGTGTCCAAAGTGTGGCCTGAGGGCCAATTGCGGCCCTTGGAGTGATTTTGTGCAGCCCACAACTGTAGTTTAAGAATAGGATCATTTTGGCCAGCAGGCTTAAAGAGGTTAATGCAGACTTTCTGCAAATTAGTTGGTAATCTTTTTTTTTAATATAAATAATGTTTAGGTTTAACAGCAAGCCAGAAGAAAAACAATCTCGTCAAAATGAGCAATATTAAACAAAATACAAACCTTTGGCTATAAACTTTTTTATTTTCATGTCATTGTACAATGCACCAAACTGATTTCTACAAGAAAGGAGATTTTTGGATAATGATAAAACTCCTAACTAAAACTTGTCTAAATATTGCAGTTGATAAAATAATCAAGAGGGAAACTGGACATTTATAAATGAATATAACGTGGTATCATCTACATATGAGTTGATCAACTTTATCAAACCTATGAATCTGTTGTAGTAGTTGACAGCTGGATGATGTTTCAGAACTTGGATCAGTCTTTCGGGCCGTCCATGGTCCAAAAGGCTGATCGACCCCCTTTTAAAAGGACACTTACTCAAATTACGCTTTTGTAGCTGTGAACAGATTAAAATGAACTTTCCAAACACAAGAAAAACAAGAAACATAGACCCAACAAATCAAATAAATCATATAATTTTTATTAAAAATATAAAATTAGTGTTTATGAGGCTTTTAATGTTTTGGATCAACAACAACTTAATACTCTTTCTCCACCAAAATTAATAAACTTTTGTCCTTTCTCCAAAATATTGTTCACGTTGAGTTAAATTCACATTTTGTGGCCCACGAGTCCTTTCATCTGAATAGTTCTGGCCCACATATGAAAACGTTTGGACCCCTGCTCAATGTGCTGATGGAAGAGGATGTAATGGAGATAGATGTTGGTAGCAGATCAGTTTGTGCCACTAGATGTCACAGTACGCTGCACATCCAGAGTAGCTGGAAGTCGAAGTGTCATCTTAAAAAAAAGTCAACAGAAATGAAAAGAAGGTCTTTGTTGTGGCTGTATGTGCAATATAATAAAATTATAAAGGTCACACTCACAAAACAAAGTGCACCGTGAGTACAGTTTTCTTTCTATTCATCAAACACCTTCAGCAACTCGTTAGGGAGAGAGAGATGATGTAACACAACAGCGAACATGCACTAGTTCCAACTTTACTGAAACGTGTTTTCAATGAGCACACAACCAAAATAATAATCACTGCATGGACATAATTAGAAAACTATCCATCCATCCGTCATCTTTACCCACTTCTTCCTTTTAGGGTCACTGGTGCCCATGTCCAGCCATCACTGTGTGAGAGGTGGGGGACACCCTGGCCAGGTCTCCAGTCCATCACAGGGACACATAGAGACAAACAACCATTCACTCTCTCACTCACACCTAGGGACATTTTAGAGTTACCAATCAGCCTAACATGCATGTTTTTGGTCTGTAGGAGGAAACCGGAGTACACGGAGAAAACCCACGCATGCACGGAAAGAACATGCAAACTCCACCCAGTAAGGCCCCTGGACCGGGGTTTGAAGCGGGGTAACCTGCTCGCTGAGAGGCAGCAGCTCTACCACCGTGCCACCGTGCTGCCCTAATTAACAAACCATCACATTTTATTTGAAATAAAAGCAGCTTTAGTTTTAAAACACTTACAGCTCAAACAACAGAGTTCTTACTTTTCAAACAGCCGTTGTCCTCTCATGAAGATCTTCACCTCTGTGTTGAAGGGAAACGTCCCGTCATCCTTGCGAAAACGATACAGCAGTTTGGCATCTTTGAATTCAGAACTCTTATCACAGACTTTAAGAAAAGGCAGAATACGGTTTCAAATGGACTGTGAAAGACACGTTGACACCTTATTCACACCCACGTTGATCCCGTATCTCTTGTGTCTTCTCACCGTGATGAAGGATGTCGTGGTCCATGAGGTGCTGCATGAGACAAACCGCTGTTTCTCGGTCAGAAGCCTCCTTGTGGCTCATGAGCCAGTCTATCAGCTCCTGGGCCACAAAACAGTTGGGATATGTGCGCAGGTGGTGCCGCCGGTCCTTTATCAGTTTTCCATCGTGAAGTCTCAACCTTGAAGTCATGGTGGCATCTTTAGAAAGCTGTAAACTTAATTTAGTCCGAACCACATACGCTGCTTCGTACCTGAGTTGTTCTCCGGCAATCATTACTTCAGTTTTATGCTGCCTAGCCACGACTTTTCTCCTTACGCTACTTGTTCGCTCCATGTTTGTTGTCCCTGAACTAAAGAATAAAGGAAGCTTACCTTTTATTGTGCACTTTTGTGTTTACAAAATAAACACAGAAACACTGCTGTCTTTTGTAAAGAGGGAGGGATGTTGTGCATACGATCAAAAAGGGGACGGAGACGGGGATTAACTGTTACAAATAGTGCAGATGTGTTATTTAGTTCATACCGAGAGCCTTGTGTGTTTCCAAAAATAGTGTAATATATACAACTTGACTGTATTTTTTATAGCAAATGAAGAAAGAAGCCATAACGCGGTGTAGTGTTTGATTCCTTGCAGACCAGTAATGGCTGTTTTGATGGTGTTTGTGTATTCTGATTTCAGGTTTGAATGGTTTGAATGCTACTTACTGTAATATCTGCAACACATACTACAAAATAAAGGAGTGTCTGTGCTGTCGTTAGTTTCTGCAGTTTTTACCAGCAGTTGGTTGATATTCATCGCCTCATTAGCACCTGATGAGTTTGAACCAGCCACAATTGTAAGGTCGTCATATCTAGCAACAGAAAACCTGAAAAACATGCCTATGGGAATTGTTGTTTTGTTTTGTGTAAAGTGAGCATTGAACTACAAAACATATCACGTGATGCGTTTCTTGGAAGATGAATACATGCTTTCTCCTCAGCAGCAGCTTTTCCTCTCGGTCTGTTTGTAGCTCCTGCTCCGAAGGCTGACTTTAATTCCAACCTCATCTTTCATAAAACTCCTACTTCACAATTGGTGTTGGAAGTTTTACATTCATGTGTGCAGCAGATACAAATGAAGTGGAGCTTTAAAAGGTAGTTCAGCATTTTTTTAAAAGTAGTTAAAGATCTTAAGAGGAGAAGTGATAACATTATAGTCATTGTGGTTAACCATTGTAAATAATATGCAATATCTCATGTGATTTTACGAAATCTTGCAGGATCTGTTGGTGCTTGAGTGTTGAGGATAATTCTGAACTACTATCTGCAAATTTGACCAAGTTATTGCTATTTTAGTGTTTGATAAGATCGATTAGCTGTGCTGGTCCTCTTAAATTGGTTTGACTCAAAATGTAATAAGTTGTAGATGTACATCCAGTGATTGGTTCCTGAAAGTTTCAATAAAATCCATTAATTTGTTCATGAGCTATGTTGCTAACTGACAGACAGCTGACTCCAATAGGTAATGTAAAGTTTTAAGACATACACATATTGATTACTTTCTGAGTTTAATTAAAATATATTCAGTGGTTCGTGATATATTTTATTAACATGGCAGACAAGCCAAGACACCCAAATGCACAGACATGGGCAAAATCATTATTGCTCTTTTGCCTTTGATGATGAGCAATAACTATCTTACCTGTTGTAAAAAAAACCTCTTTGAACAGCCATTAGTTGAACATATAAAGATCATGTCCTACTGTACAGAAAAACATCTAAAATCACAGTAGGAAGTCGACATTTTTAAACAACATCAATCTCCAAAATTTAATATCAAATTATTTAAGCACCGTTCCATTGTTGTCAATTTTGCATTACAATTATTTACATTGAATTGTGTGGTTACCAGTAACTGTGCATTCAAATAGTGGCAGCAGTGGAGCACTTCCTGTAAAGTTTGAGGATTGGAATATCGTATTTCTACCTGAATGAGCACGTAATGGTGACAATGTTGTGAAAATTTAAAAAGTAAGTAAAAATTTAAGGCAGCAAGATTCACTTTGGAAGGTGTTCTATCGGACTAAAGTAGTTCCTCGCTACTTTACGGTTTGTTTATCGCGGACTCGCTCTATCGCGGTTTTTCAAAGTAAGTTTGGACATGACACACAATGGCTGATTGATGGATGAGCCGTACGATTGGCATGGATTTTTTTTTTAAATAAACTATTTTAAATGAGTTAGCACCTGTGTGCAGCCCACAGCTGTGGGAGAAGCTTCCTCCTGCAGCTGATCAGCTGATGTCAATGCAGAGCAGAGAAGTGGGCGTAGCCGAGAGCGCAGCCAGAGGCAGAGAGCTGAGATCATGACATGCATTGCTCTTTTAAAGCGTTTAGAGTTTAGAAACATTGTTTAGAATATTGCAAGAGTGTGGGAAGGGTTTAAAACGCCATATATATGAATACTAAAATAAACTACTACATACTACTACTTCACGGTTTTTCACTTATCCCAGGTTTTCAGGGTACGACTCCCCCATGACAAACGAGGAACTACTGTATATTGAAGAGCAAATCCGAGTGCGTTCACTTCCAAAGCAGATTTTGCCATTTTAAAACAACTCAATTTTTCTAAATTTCATAACGGTTCATCAAAACGCTACTTTTCAAATCATTAGATCTTCATCAATTTAGGATTATATGATTGTTTCAGCAGAAATATTCTTGTACTCCTTTGGGACGTGTCCTGTGCTGCACTGGAAGGGCTGTCGCTAGCTACTGCTGCAGCTATTTGTCATTGCAAATAACCACAGGATTCTATGTAAATAATGAAAAATTGCCAAAGTTTACATAAACTGCTAAAAACTTTTAGGGATTGAAGCAGTTTTAAGGTAGCAGCAATCCACATGGGATGTAGTTGCATTCAGAGTAGCTGTTAGCACATCAGTCCTGTCAGAATTAGTGTGAGGCTGTTCAAAGAGTTATCAACAGCAGGTAAGATACTGACTGTTAATAAGGTTTACTTAGAAACTCACTTTAAAATGGCTTCAATCTGTTTTTAAATGTTGATGCCATGATGGTGCATAAACATAATGATAGCGTGTTTAAATGTAATTTCCTTCAGGTTATCCTGTCATTAGGTCGGTGTGACTCGTCTGCCGGCATCAGTCCTGGTATGTGTCCCGGAGAAATCGTCACACTGTCTTCTCTTTTCCTGTCTTCTGAGGAAGTACAACTGACTGAAACAATACTTGACCATTCTCCTGCAGCAGTTTCTATTGGTTTTGGCCAGAGGCAGTCCTTTAGTGTTGTCAGTGAGGGTTTCGCTGGCATTAAGTGCTTACTGAGAGGGCTACCTCGGGGTAAACTGTTTAACCCTTTCAGATCCTGTGCAGCCATAATATCTGTGGGCACCTAATGTGTCTGTTCCATTATGAGTTACAGGAACTTGTCTCTTAGGGCCAAAAAGTATAAAGATACAGGCTACTCATCCATCAGCTGTTTGTGTTTGTTGAGGTTTCATGCACAGTCCAAATGACTATAAAAATGTGTAGAATGGTTAGTGTGTTACAAAGGAAGAACCAAGACTCAAAACAACAAACGACACAATCTCAGGTCTTTTTCTCAAGTAGCAAAGTATCAAGTTTGGAAATCCTTCAGTGTGAAGGCAGTCATGGCTCTTAGTTCCTGCCAATTTTTCTCCTGTTATTTAAATGTCTCCAAGATGCTCTCCTGCGCTCTCACTGGTCTATACATCGGTAACACAATATCATCATAACGCCATCAGGTACATCGATGACATGTCACAGATACGCTGCTGCACTTCACCCAGGACCCTCATCCACTGCCGCAAGGATGATAAACCACCATGACTATGTATGGACGTTATGGTGTGGACTTTGCTAATAAGGAAGGAAATGGAAGGAAGAAACTTGTACAGTGGAAAATATTATCAGCATTTCTTTTTTTTTTTTTGCTCTGTGCAGTTACTAGGCAGCACGGTGGCGCAACTGGTAGAGCTTCTCAGCAAGCAGGTTACCCTGGTTCAAATCTTGGTCTGGGGGCCTTCTGGGTGGAGTTTGCATGTTCTCTCCGTGCATGTGTGGGTTTTCTCTGGGTATTCCGGTTTCCTCCCACAGACTAAAAACATGCATGTTAGGCTGATTGGTAACTCTAAATTGTCTCTAGGTGTGAGTGAGAGAGTGAATGGTTGTCTCGTTTGTCTCTGTGTCCCTGTGATGGACTGGAGACCTGTCTAGGGTGTCCCCCGCCTCTCGCACAGTGACTGCTGGCCATGGGCACCAGTAACCCCTAAAGATAATGGATGGATGGACAGTTGTCACTTCCTGTTTGCCTGACCTGTCCTAACAGCACTACTGCTTTGATGAAGTGACAAACAGGAAATCAAAGGCCTAGCAAGCCTTGAAGGTTGCATATCGCCCACTGCCTTTCATGCTAGCATTTTATTTTTTGTATTTTTATGCTGAGATTTTTTTTCATGCGTTTTTGTTACATAACTCGTTCTGCAATTTTTCTGCTATTCACATCTATCCAAACGTTCAGCTCATTCTGGAAATCATAGGTGCATGGATGTGATCTAAATGCTCTGGTTAGTCTCTATAGAATGACTTACTGAGATTAGCTTTGTAGTGATGTAGTCGAGTGCTGTATGGATGTGTGTGGAGGTAGAGGACACAGATTGTGTTGTAAAGCGCTTGAGTATCCTGATTGGTCAGGCACCAAATAAATCCAAATTTGAAATCTTGAAAGCTACAGAAACAAACTAAAAAGAAAAACAAATCTTGTGTATTTAGTTCATTCTTCAAGTAAAAAGGGGAATCAGTCTCAATACTACCACACTAAATTTGAGCTCGCCACTCGTATAAATTCACCAAGTTAGAGCCATTTTTGTGTTTTCTAAGGGACACGGAGCCGCTGCAGCCATCTTCAGTTGGACTGGCTCTAAAGATGATTTAATTGTAGCTTTTTGCAAGTTTCATTAACATCCGCCCTGTAGTTCATGATATTTTGCTAACTGACCGACAAACTAACACACAGATGAGGAAAAACATGTTTGTACTTTCGCCCTCATGGGTGGATGATAAACATCGATGGGTCACAGCTGGGACAAGCCTTAGGTGCTGCCACAAGATGTCAGGATTTACCAGCCTATAGGAGGAAGCAGACAAATCACCGCAGTTCAATTTAGATATGGTTCCTTAAATATACCAAACTGTTTACATGAATATACATTAACAACAATAACATTAAAGTTTACTGGAGAATTTAAAACGTAAAATTTTGGTTTTGTTCATCTACATTGCATAAAGAAGTCTAATGCATTTATTAACATTATCCATAAAGAAGTATATTCATAAACACTCAAAACAGATGAAAGTGTCCAGAAGTGACATGTTGGAGAGGTAAAGGGAAGTTGCTGTCGTGTCCTGCACACTTCAGGTGTGGAGGTGAAGTCGGAGGAGACCTCGAGCAGCGCTGATGCGCATCTCGTGCACGGCTCGTTCATTGGACCGCAGGGTGGAGGTGTAGTCTGAGGGCGTGCCCGCCTCCCTCTGCCTTTATGAAAGAAAGTGCGCTTCATCCTGAACACCAGAGGTGCGTTCAGGGGCCTTTCAGGAATCACTGCAGCGCTCTGCTCCGAACCAGCAGCGCACGAGCTCGACTCCGAGTTTCAGAAGCTGGGAGCACTTTAACTTTCAGATCATTCCCTACAGATGTTTTCTGTCTGAGCTGATCCAACTCTGGAAGTGTGCTTTTTTTATTCCACGTGAGCGCGTCTTCTCTGACTGTATGAACTGTCAGCGGACTCTCGGAGCTCCGTGACGAGTTTTTGAGCACTGAGACGCGTCCTGACCCGGGGCTGCAGACCCCCCCACCCCCCATCTCATGGATTTCGTGGGCGAGTTTGACTTGATGAAGTTCGGCGTAAAGAAGGAGACGATGCCGGGCTTGGATCGCTCCTTCATCAGCGCGCTCCAGAGACCGGACTCTGTGTCCTCCACCCCGGGCAGCACCCCCTGCAACTCGGTCCCGTCGTCGCCGAACGTCGTCCCGAACGAGCAGAGGAACAACCCGGGCAGCGACCAGTTCTGGATACCCAACAACGGCGGGTACCCCCATCAAATGTACCCTCAAGCTTTCGGCCTGACCCCGGAGGACGCCATGGAGGCCCTGATCGGCGCCACGACGACGCAGCAGGGTCACCCGTCTGCGCCCCACGGACACCACCCGCAGGCGTTCCAGGCGGACTACGACGGCTACTTGGAGCCCGTCCAGCACTACCCGGGACTCTCGGGTCACCCCGACATGCAGGGCATTCCCACAAACCACTGCCAAGACCCGTATCTTAAAGACGAACTGGGCAGCCCGTGCCCCCAGTCCCCGGAGGAGCAGCAGGTCCTCGGGCCCCACCAGTTCCAGCAGCCGCACGGCCGCCACGAGCGGCGCGCGGGCGCCGACGCGCTGTTCTCGGACGAGCAGCTGGTGAACATGTCGGTGCGCGAGCTGAACCGGCTGCTCCGGGGCCTCAGCAAGGACGAGGTGATGCGCCTGAAGCAGAAGCGCCGGACCCTGAAAAACCGAGGCTACGCGCAGTCGTGCCGCTACAAGCGCGTGCAGCAGAAGCACATTCTGGAGCACGAGAAGACGAGCCTGGTGACACAGGTGGAGCAGCTGAAGCACGAGCTCGGCAGGCTCATCCGGGAGAGGGACGCGTACAAACTCAAATGTGAGAAACTGTCCGGCGCCAGCTGCTACCACGAAACCGGGTCCACGAGCGACACCCCGTCCTCCCCCGAGTACTCCATGTGAGCCCTGATGTGAAGCAGCAGACAGACTGAAGCACTCAGTGAAGCATGCATGCTGGACATGTGTGAGAAGTTTTATTTTCTACCGCCCGCAGATATCTGTATTTTGTCTGAAAGAGATACTTGAAATCAGAGAATATTTGCTGCATGCATGTAATCCCTTTACTTCCGGATCAATCTTCTTTTCTTGGATAATCTGACTTTAGTTTCTCTTGCTCGGTTTTTAGTGTTTTGTGTTCAAGAAAACAAATGATGCGTTTTGCAGAGCTGCTTCTGCTGGACAGACACGGTTTGCTTTTTAAATTTAACTCAGGATTGTGCAAAAAGAAAAAAAAAACAGTGCTGATTATTTTAACCTGATTTTTTTTATTTACTATGAATCAATAAACCCTTTGTGACTTTTTAAAGTTGTGTCCCCATCTGCTGAAAATTCATTCTCCTGCACCAAAGTGCCGGAGTAGAAATAATATCCTTGTTTCCTCTAGTTGGTCTTTTTGTTCGTTTGTTGTTGTTATCAAGTCTTTCCCAACATTTTTACTGTCCAACGCACAGAATAAAACAATAAAATATGCATATAATATAATATTTGCACACATATAGGAAGCTGGTCTGTGCAGTGGCATTTCTAGTGGGGGGTTCTTAGTGGGAAAACACTTTGCCACCCATGGCCTGTTAATTTAATCTTGTACATTTTGCAAACAGTTTACAGAACGTTAGTTTTCATCCCAGCTCACTGATTTAGAATTTGCTCATATACTTATAACTTATCAAATTTCACCAGAACAAACAGTTTTGAAGAACCCCCCCAATCATCGACGTGTCAATACGCTACTGACTGCAAGTCTTCATCGGATCTACAGAAAACATGAAGTCGATGACAAATGGCTCCCAGTTAAGCGTTGTTTTGTGTAGCTTGTAGACAAATAACCTTTCTTTTTTTTAATACTCGGAGGAGCTGCCTGCAGCAGATGTGTGAGCGGCGGGGACGCCCTGCAGGTCCATGGCAGGGCAGACACATGACCTGAATATAAATTCAAGATTTAAAGTAAAATTTTTCTAGATGACCTACTCATAAGAAACAAACCTGTAGATGCACCACAAACTTACGTTTCTGCTCCTACGTGTGTATGTTAGTAATGTCCTTCCCTGACCTTTGACCCCTCTGCAGTGCTGCTTCCTGTGAGACCCCGGCATGTGAAAGCACAGGGCTGGGATGGGGGGGGGTGTGTTAACCGTCCGGGGCTGTGGGGCGCAGATAAAACGGAGTGGAAATCATGCTTCCCCTCAAACAGCTCACCTCTGCATTCATCACAGAGGAAGAGAGGAACAACAACCACACACACACACGCAAGGAATGTTCCATGCGTTTTCCCATTTAAAAAAAATTTAATTTAAAAATAAAATAATTGTTAATCCTTGAAGCAACTTCCCTGGCCGTGGGTCATTCCCAGTTCGGGGCTACAATAATATTTGGATGAGTGTAATGGCTCCAAGGCCAGAGTGATAATGGTTGATAAGTGTTACATTGTGAGTTTATAACCTCTGCGCTGAAAATCTGACGGCTGTTTAGTTTACCGTCACAGCAGACTTTGTAACTTCTCTCCACCCCCCCGGGGGAGTTGAGATGGGCAGGTGGCTTCAGCCTGGACACCAGCTTTTCTTCTTCATGTGCGCCCCCTCCTCCTCCTCCTCCTGACAGGGCTGACCTCACCTCTCTGCTGAGGGAAAGCAGCTCTAAAGAGAACAGGTGCACAAACACTTTCCCTGCATGGGAAACCAGACCTGAGACTGCCACAGAGCAACTGGAAACAATGGGATGGTTCTGACTCCCACTCCTCATTTTCTCGGTTTAATTTCGTCATTAAGGATTAATAAACCCTAAATTCTTTATTTTATAATGAGGGTGTCCGCCATTAACAGTAATTCTCCTCAGATGACTGAAGGGTAAAACTTTATTTACCTAAAAAAAAGTAGCTGCTTCAAATATATCACATGATTATTTTTGTGACAAAAAATACAATTATTATTACTTTTATGAATACATTAATTAATATAAATATTAATATATTAGTATTCAGCTAAAACCCTAAAACAACATTAAAGGCCTAGCATTCTTCAGTCTTTGGACACAAAGGTTGTTTTTTAGTCTCGGTTTCTCAGATTAGTTTATTTTCATTAAAATAAGTAACCAGAAATATTTAGGCCTTGCATTTTTTGAAGGAATGCATGTCACCCGCCGCCTTTCGTGCCCAAGTTTTAGTTTAAGATCGTCTCGTGCTGAGAAATGATGGAGCTGCTGGTTTGTTCAAACCTTGAAAATGATGTTTTGCACGATGTCACACTCAAAGTCTGTTTTGTAAATGACTCGGCTGCAATAATTTCTGCTCGGTCTCTGTAAAACTGCCTAAATCATGCAGTCACTTTTGTGTTTTCCAAGGTCTGCTGGCTGTGGCGGCCATCTTGAACTGACTCCAGGAGGTCATCAGCTGAAGGGAATCTTGTGCAGTGAGTGGAGGTGGTGGTGTTTTCCTTTCGGCTACCTCCTTCCTAATTTGCACAAATGATTTAGCGATTGTTTTACTCCGGCCCCTCTTCCTGTCACACCTTGGGCTTGAACCTGCAGCCTCAGGATTACAATCACCGACCCCCGAACTACCACGGCCCCGATAAGTTGCACTTAGTGTCAGTGTTGTGAACGTCTCTCAGTTTTAAACACACCAAATCTTACCTCCATATCTGCTGAGTTCACTGAATTAAAACCAGTTTTGTGTTTTTAAAGGTCATTTGGCTGTGGCAGCCATCTTGAATTAGACTGAGTCCAACAGTTAGTTGTAGATATACATCCAATAATTATTTTCAGCTGCTTTTATTTTTATTATATATATATATATATATATATATATATATATATATATATATATATATATATATATATATATATA